GCCCCTCGTTCCCCGTCATGGCATTCAGTTCCCATAGAAAACGGCAAAAAAAGTAACCCCCCGCCAGCCCACCTCACCAGGCGCAACACCGAGGGTGATCCCCAGGGCACCCATCAGGCCTCTGAGCAGCACTTCTGGTGGTTCATCTTGACCTTGTGCTTGATGCCGTCGTACAGCTCAAAGTTGTAGTTCTCCAGCGTGGTGGAGCTCCGTGAGGACAGCCCGGCGTACGAGCACGTGCAGTAGAGGAGCAGACCGGCGCAGATGGCCCCGAGGAGGACGCCGAGGGAGCTCATCGCTATGATGGTCACTAGGATGGGATCCAGGGTGTACAGCCAACTTTTTTCTTTGTCCAGCTTCGGGGTTCCTGGAGAGTTAGTAGACAATAGTGTGTCGTTCCTATCCGATCCAAAGTAATCTGCAGTGGAATGGGCACTTATTATCCAGGGATCACTTCCCCCCCCCAACTTTTATGCATTTCTTACTTGGAGTTGTGATGGCCTTACAAGAGTATAAGCTCCCCCGTAAGTATATCTCAGCAGAATTCTCTAACCCAGGTCTACAAGTAATGTGAACCGAACGATCAAGAAAGTTAGGTGCCCTAGCTAGCGTGCTAGCATTTTACACCCACTGAAACTCTGGCCCTTCAAGTGCCATTGGGTTCAAAACTACGGAAACAATCCGTCACAGCTCCCAGACTTAATTTTCTCCATTTACAAGTCAAAATGCCACGCAAGCAGCAATTAATGCTTGAAAGATCAGTTCCACTTGTCCTAACACAAATACAATATATTGACTTTGCAAGGTTGCTTGCTGTTGAAAAAGGAAAACAAGAAAAGAAAACTAGTATCTTTGCCCAGGCACGGAGCCATCACTTGCGTGTACGTTCTCCAGCGTGTTCTAGCTCCTAACCCCCATCACAGCTGAGGTTTGTGAGTAATTGTAGCATCTGATACTGAAACACAAGCTCCCCCAGATAAATTGCCATGTGGCATTTGGGTACCAACCTGGATCATCGTTGTCCTCAAAATCTTGCTCTGAGATCGGAAAGTCATCCTCCATTCTTGGGAAGTTCACTAGAACAACAAAATGGGAAGCACTGTTGGTTTAAAGAGGGCTTTCGGGGCATTGTTGCCACTGGTCACTGGATTGCGAGACTGGCCAGAAGCAAGCAATAGCTGAACTACTGCAAGGCTCTTCCTCTCAGAAGGAGGAAGAACTCTTCCCCTTCTTCCTTCGGCCGAAGTCAATGAAGACTCTTGCACACTCGAGAGAACAGGATCTGCCCACTACATCACAGATCATGACCACCAAATGACCAGCTTTTAAGAAGAAAAGAGAGCGAGCGAAAAGCAAAGAAACCAGATGACTTGAATAGCACTAAAATATTGTCATTGGTGCCTGCATAATGGCCATAATTCACTATTAACATGCTCATAGGTATGATCTCTACAACTTTGAATAGGATCTTAGTGCCTATCATTACTTGCCACTAATGCTAGATCCATTTAGCACAATCTACTTTTCATCTTTTCCCATACATCTTACTGGACACAGAGCTTCAATGACCCAATTTCTCTTTGGGTTTCAGATAAATTCATAGTAATTTGAGGAAGTCATGTATCATCATTGTATGTTTTAATGCAAAAGCTGGTTGAAATGGGGAGAGCGGCAAATGGGTGTCCATATCTAGGCATTTATGTTAACATTTCTCTGATCCAAATTCCTTTTAGTGGTGACATTTCTTTTTATTGTTCAGCACAGATCAAGCACTAGTAACCAAGTGCACATGCTGTAATCTGAGCAGAAGAAAGTTATTTTCCTGTGCAGTCTTCCTAGCATTATCTCTATGTATAGTTACCAAGTTTTCAGTTTTTTCCAAAAGAAAATGCCCTTTCATTTTGATCTGCTTACATTTTTTCAAAGCTGACCGTAAGTTGGGGTGCTCAACTGAGAAGGCACCTCAAAATGATCAGGAATGCAGAAAATCAGGGACTACTAGGAAGCAGTAGAAGTCACACCTTTGAAGTAGTTGTGGTTGCAAATTAAGGCTACTTCACGTCTTGCACAAAAACAGCAAGAAGAGTTTTAAGAGATTACTTAAACCCAACCAAAACCAAAGAATGTAACTTGTGCCTAAAAAGCCACATGCAAAGAAATTATTCAAAACCTTATAAAAGAATATTTGTGCGTATTTGTACAGAGATTTAGGACCGGAAAAGGCCTCCTGAATTGTCAAATCTATTTTTTTGCTCTCCCAGGCAATGGTATCAGGCAATCCCCGCCAGCAACATGTCAAGGTTCACTTCCAGAGCAGGGGGGCTCTGCTGAACGCCACGCCGCCCCAACACCACCTCACCCCGGACTGCACTGATCCTCCGTGCTGGCACTGATCACACCTTCCCAAATACCCATTCTTTGGGCAGAACTGTCTTTTGCTCTCTGCTCTCAAAGGATTAAGGGATTTCTTTGACTTTTCAAGCGAACCTTGTGTTCCTGGCAACAGGAACACACAAAACCCAACACTTGCCCCTCCTAACGATGAGCTCTGCATGTAGTGAGCCAGGTAATTTAAGCTGACTCAAGGCTGCTGGTAGCTTGTTGAAGAAACATAGGTGCACACCATCTTCTGTAAATCCTCACTTTAGCAGCGAGTTCACATGATTTCTCAACACTTCCAGAACTGACAGGCCCAGATGGCAACATCTTAGGGCTGGGAGAACTGCCTGAGGGCCTCTTGCAAACATTTAGAGCCGAACATGTGGAAAAATAACTTGCAAAGCAGTTCACACATGGAGACGTCTGCTTTGCTAGTCCTCCGTCACAAGACAAGCAGTGAAATTTGCCATCCATGTCACCCACACAACCCTACGGAAACTGTAGGTTGCTCGAACACAAGCAAAGGTGGAAATTGGACCACGGTCTGCCCAAAGAGCCCACGTGTGGGGAAAGGCCGTTGGAAATATTTTGCCTTTCCATATTGTAGCTCCTCTAAATTTTGTGTGAGAACAAGCTAGCAATTTGGTGCTTTTTTATTTCCCAGGGTAGCCTTGAGGGAAAAGCCAGAAAAAACAAAGTACCAGTTAATCAACACTTTCAAAAGAACACCAGTTCTTCCAGCCTGAAAGGAAGGAGCGCTGGGAAAACTTGAAAAGAGAGAACATTTATACAAAAAGCCCAGGCCAAAATCTATTTACTCTTCTAGCAATTTTCTCAATTCCCCATGCTAATATGACTCCAAGTCCTGCTTAAATGATATCCTCCTCCTTGCCCATTCTCCTTCCTCCTCAGGCCCGTGGTAGGCCCTTATTCTTCTGTTCCCTGCACACCATTTCATTGCTATCAGATTGTATGTTGTCACGCAGGGCTCTACGCTGGCTTTGGAAAAATGCAACTCGATGTTTCTTTTTCCGTACTGGGGTTTCTTGAGTCATTAACAAAATCGGCTCTGGCTGTGTGGCTGCCTGTGGGAATTGAAGCTGGTGGTCCCAGTTCAGTTCCTAGTGGAGATGATTTCCCATCACAGAAACTAGCCTGCTATTTGTCATCAATTAGGCTCCTTTGTGACAAATCTGAGCAATATTGTCACAAGTGGAGCAGGCCATGGAAAGTGACCCCCTTGGAAAGCGGTCCCCAGAAAAGCCCTGCAAGCTGCTGGGCAGAATGGGAGAAACATGCATCGCCCTGTGCTGTGGAGAGCTGCTTCCTTAACGGGCAGCTTTCAGGCGCAATCTACTTTGCATTTTAAAAGGAAAAAAAACATACTGCGGAAGGGTAGACAAGAAAGTTAGGGGGAACTGTATTTAAAGAGGAGGAGCGCTTTCTCCTGAGTGAAAGGCCCTTTTTAAAGCGCGTGTGCTGAATGACGGCTGTGAGCACCTAGCCGGTCACGCCCAGAAGATGATGTTAGCGATGCTGTTGGAAACGGCCGGATGCCGAGAAAAGGCTGTTATCTGTTGGATCTAAGAGCACTGCCAGCTAACAGGCTAATTTATGGGACCTGAAAAAAGAAAGATGAGATTCTAATCAAAGACAAGGAGCAACTTAAGTACCATGTTCGTATGAACTCACATGGAGGGAGAGCAGGAGAGAATTAGTATTTGCAGAGATTAAGTAGCTTTAATGTACATCTGTTTTAAAATACTAGCAGGGGCAGGAGGGATTGGGACAGGGTGGGGGTTACTGGCAGGGGGGGTGACATGTGCTCAATACGCCTCGCCAAGAGCAGATGAGGTTCTCTGGTGCCCCACCACAGACATACACATGCCTCTTGCAGGAAAGCTCTCCAAACCTGCCCAAGGCAGCTCACCTCTGCAGAGCTGAGGTCAGCGCATCGTATGGACTGGCATGTACTTCCCGCCACCACACACGCTCAACACCAGCCTGCCTGCATGGGCTTACCAGCAGTGCCCACCGCCTCAGGCAGACACCTTTGCACCAAGCCAAGAGCTACTGCTTTGGAGAGGACACCCAGTCCCAGTCGCTGGAGCCTAGACACATTCCTCTGAGGCAAATGACCACCATCGAGAAAAAAAATGCTGTTTCTTTCTAGACTGACTTTGCCTGGTTTAAGTCCGGGCACCGACCGTTGCCTCCTGCCGGATCCCTCCATCCCAGGGCAGAGCTCTGTCTATCACCATGCATCTCGCTACACACAGGCATTTCCAGATGTGGTGCCTCTCGGGCTCTTTCTAGGTGAACAAAAGGAGCCTCTCAGCAGGAGGTGCCTTTCCCAAGCAATATATCAAACTTGCAGCAATTTCCAGCCCTTTTTGTTGCCTGCCTGCAGCCTCTCTGCTGCAGAGGAGCCTGGCCTGGAGAGTGCCCGGAATCTGCTCCCACCGTCCCTGGGCTCCTACTGCCCACTTCCCGCAGGGGTCCGCGGGCTCTGGGGCCGAAGGGGATGCACCAGGAGATGGTGGCTTGTGGGCTCTGCTACCTAACCGTCTTTCACTTCCCAGTAACATCTGTGGCTGTGCTTCCTGGTACAAAAGAGGGGTAGCCAACTGCCCTCTGGTCTTTTCCACAGAGGGGAAACAACCGTGTGCTGCTCACTTCCGTGTGCTTGCTCACAGCAAGTGCCCTCCTATGTGCTCACCCCTCTCTCCTGTTGCCACAACAGCCAACTTGGCCAGCGCTATCCCGTCCGGCAAGGGGACCATCGGAGGTGCACAGCTGCCAAACAGTGCCCACGAGAGCCTGAAACATTAAATCCAGCTAAGCCCAGGAAAACGGGGTCAGAAATTACCACTCCCCAGCCTTGGCAGAGAGAGGCAGAGCTCCAGCTTCACTCTGATCCTTGCTTTTCTCCCTTTGCTCATTCCCAGCCCTTTTCTCTCTGTAGCAATAGCGTGACTCCAACACACATCATTTTGTTTTGACATAGCAGAGCAGCCGCTGTGGCCTCGCCTTGACACCGCTCCGTTCGGCGGCGGCGCGCTGCTCCTCCGGCTGGGAGCCCCGGGGGCTGGGGGGCGACACCTCCCACCCTTGGTGAATGGGGAAGCGCTTCTCAAAGCAGCAGCACAGGCACCAGGCAGAAACACTCCTTCTGAATCCCCCATCGCTCTATTTCCAGCCGAAAATCTGTCTCACTTCTCTCTTCCTTGCTCCTCCAGAAACACAGAACGATTTTAGTTTACAAAAGGGCTAAATCCCTGCCAAATTTCAAATTAAAACAGTGCTTTGGCTACAGCTGAGCATTAAAGAAAGCAAACAAGCAGACTCTCCCCTGGTCCTCTGCAGCGCGGGAAACCCCGGACCTTATCCTCAGATTGCCTCGGGACTGCCCCGGCGGCGGGGCACACCGCGGCACCGTCTTCAAACCGGGTGACACCGAGGAGCCTCTTGCGTTCCTTGGGCTTCCCGTATGCAGAGAAGATGGGGAAGCGTGGCTAGGCAGGTGAAGACCCCAACTGAAAGCATTCAGAGATGTGAAGCCGGGCTGGGTGCTTGGTGCAGAGGCAAACGTGAGCAGGCAGCTATTTCCAGCCCTCCGACGCGTGGCACCCTGCCCTCGCCGCACGCATGGCAGATAGCCGAGGCGGCTGCCCAAATCAGGGACCCTGCCAAACCC